TCAGATGCCTACACCTTTGCATAGAAGGCACCAACCACCATCACCTCCAGCAACCCCCTCCGCCTGCCCCGCACAGGCCCACGTGCCTCTGCTCCAAGAACAGATTCAGTACACTGACTTGGCAAAAAGCCTGACTTTGGTCTGGCCCATCTCCATTTTGGCCCATCTCATGCCATTTTAGTGAGTTACATCAGCTTGGCACAAGGCCACGAGAACATCAGGACCAGCCCAAGGGAAGCAGTAGAAACAAAACAGGAGGGGAAGCGAGGCCATCCCCTTCCAGCAGCAGCAAGCTGGTGATGAAACAACACCTTTCACTGTCCAAATTTAAATTAAACTACTTCATTAGCACATCTCTGCTCACCTGCTCAACTTTTTTTTTTTTTTTTAAACCATTTTTTAACTTGCTTAACCTTTTTTTTAAAAAAAAAGGTTTTTGAGCAACACCTTCAAGAAGGAGCAGTACAAGAAAGAGCTCAAGACTGACTAAATTATGCTCAAGCCAAATAAGACCTGGGCTAAGCCATGAGTGCATACTAAACCTGTGCCGCCTTGTCTTTTTTCCCCCCCTGTCCTCCAGAGGATAGAACCAAACTTGATCCAAACTTAGACACAAAGTGGTGAACTGTTTTCTAAGAAGGCAGTAGATTCTTACTGAAAAGGAACCTTAAACTACCTTTCACTGCTCTTCTTTTACCAGTGAATTGGACTCTCAAAGACATGTTCCACACAGAACAGGCTTAGGAAAGTTGTTAAATAACAACAAAGCAACGTGAAACAAAAGAAACAAAAGTAACCCTCTAGCTGATAGGGAAACCTTCTGCAGCCATACCCAGAAGTTAAAATGCTGTAAGCACTAAATGCACATGGTCTGGCCACAACACTCTCCCTCTGAGTGTTAATATGCAGCTAAAGCATCATCAGAGCAGCACTCACAATTCTTTTCCAAGTAGCAAGTACTCCTCCACCCTCTCTGCAAAAAGTGACCTCACAATTCCACTGCCAGTAAAACAGACCCACAAACGAGAACATTTAAACTGACACATTTCACTGCACTGGAGTGGACACAGAAAGTCACAGCAGCAGTTACCACACTTCCACAGAAGAGCGGTAAATTGCAGCCAAGGGACAGTCAAACCAAAAAAAAAAAAAACCAACACAAACACTCATTTGACTGCTTCCAGCAGCAGCAGACTGAGACAGCAAGAGTCCTGGAGTAGAATTTCAGATCCAAGTTAAATTTCTGTCTCTGCCACAAATTCCCTGTGGAAAAACAGGCAAGTCACCTTTTCCATACTCTGCTTGAATCCCTTCTCCTGCAAAAGGGGCACTGTTCTTGCTTGTCTGTTCAAATTATAAAGCTGCCCTAGCAGGGATTATTTTTAGCACACCAGCACAAAAACCCAGCTGAGCTGGACTCTGATCTCAGCTAGGCCTTCTCTTTGGCTCTGTAATGTAAGAAGTAAACAAAAAGCAAGGCTGAACCCACACCAGAGCCCAGCCACTGGACAGCATTTGATAGCAGATGAAGCACATTTCCCAAAAACAGCAAGCTGCTGCTCTACAGCTAGAACCAGTCAGTGACCCGGGGGATTAAAATGGATGACCAGTGCCTGTAATCATTCACTGGAGACCAGTGAGCTGCAAATGGACAAATTTCAAATCCAATTCCAATTTCCACAGTCACCATGCAGTGACAGAGGTGTTTCTCAGGAATGCAAGTTGAAATAACTCCTCATTCAGCACTGAGATAGCAGCAAATTACTGAGAGCTACACTCAAGAACAGGAACTCTGCAGTATTCTTTACTTTATAGAATAAACAAGCTGTTGCATCAAGTCCATGCATAGTCAGTCAGGGCTTTCTGTATTCCAAAGGCACAGGAACTGTTCTCTGCCTGGATTACCACCCTCAGCATCAGTGACACACCTTCCTGAAATCACAGCAAAATAGTTCCTTCTTCTACAAGCACACTTGACCCTTAATCATTCCCCTTCTGCAGATACAAAACCCTATTTTACTGAATCCTTTGTTTCTTGCTATTTCAACTGATGCAATCTCACACAACAGGACATATTTATCAGCTTATCATATTTGACCAGGTTGGTTCTCATCTGCGGTTTTCCAATACCCAGATGCTACATACTCCCTAAGCACAATTGCCACCTGTTTCATCCAGCCCTAAACTGCTCTTATTTTAATATGACTGACTCACTGCAAACTCACCATACCAGGACTACAGCCTTCTGCATCCAGCTGCCCTGCTACTAGTCCCTTTTGGGGGTGCACTCTCAATCAGACCCACTGTTCTGTGCTTGTCTTACTTTCAGCTCTGCTCCACCAAAAAACACTCAGCCAGATACCTGCAGCACCCATTCATTCATTCTATCCTATTTCACTCTCACCATCCCAACAGTCATCTTCACTTCTCTGTAAGCAGAGATACACTACTCTGTTCAAGGACATGAATCACCCTTTTTCTCTCTAATATTGAGTAGGTGCTGGATTCCTCAGGATCCACACTTCCCTTGGAAGGATGAAAACCGTCTGCTCTTTGTCAAATGGAATAGAAAAACTAGACTCCTAACTTACCATGTTTGTAGAATACAGAGCTCCCTTCTACAAACCCTATGCAGCCCAGCAGCTTTATGCTGGTAAAAACATTCTCCCTGATGGAGGACAGTTTCTCTATGCTATCTCCTGTAACCCAAGCCATAGCATTGCACTAAGATGCAATGTACAAGATGTGCTTCTGCAATCAGCTGTTAACAGAAGACGTACATGACTAGAGATTATTATCTGCTGAGCTGCTTCTAGGAGAATCCCTGGCCCAATCCCTACCCAGGCAGGGCAAGCTGGATCAGTATAGAGACCTGTTATTTTAACTCTTAGAGGTAACTGCTGGAACAGACCTGTGCTGCAGGTCAGTGGTATGCTTACCTCCTGGTCACAGTGCTGACAGTCTCCATCAGCAATATTAGAACTGGAAGTCTAACAAACCTGAGCAAACTTCAGCAAACATTAGTTTTCCCCTCTAACTTCAAGCAAAAGCCACATACCATAGTAACCACAACAATGGTAAAGCTTGTGCCCCTCCTACAAAGTCCATTCACAACGCTTAGATCAGAGTAACAAGGCTGTGAAAGTAAACTGCTTAGTAGATGTGATGGGGGAGTATATACTGAAAAGACAATCCCTGTTTCAGGCATCTGTGAAATTCTGCTCTTGCCCTCCCCAGACAGCCTTTCAAACTGAGTCTCAGCAATATTTTTAAACACTTGATGTCATATTGATGATCAACTGTCTTATCACACCAACTTGCATGCTCTTTTCTTTGCTCCACGGCTCTATTCAAGGCCATGCTACATGCCAAGTCATATTACGTTAAACTCTTACTGGTCCTTATCAGCAGAATGCTCACATATGCAGTCAATTTCTCATAAGTCTCAACATATGTCTAGCTGTTGGATAGGAAACTAGGGTATGCAGCAGTTTTCCAGTACTTCCATCACAACTCTACCTGAAAGTAAACGCGGTGTTATTAGTTACCGGCTGTCCCAGACTGCCACCCACTGGCCTCCAGGAACACAATCTGTGCTGAGTGGTATTTTTCCAAGTAAACGTGCTTCAGGCACTGAAGCAGACTGACGCACTCTACCGGTACAGCTAGAAGAAGGCAGCTTCTTGCAGAGCAACCGTGTCACTGACAAAGACTGCTTTATAGCTGCTTCGCTTGCAGTTATTGCGAATTTGCTGACTACAGCGTTTGTATAATACTGTAATTACAAAATCTTCTGAATGTTTAAATCTGATGAAATCCACTTTACTTAAAATACTGCATCAAACTTCCCTAAAACCAAACTCAATGAAAAGTTTGAAAAAAAAAAAAAAAACAAAAAAAACACAGACAACCCAAATACTACAGCTGGGTTCAGAAGATCCATTATATAAGCAGCATTTTGCTGTCAAGTACCATAAGCAAGGCAATATTACTTTCCCCATAAAACATGCAATAGGTACAAATAGGTGCAAAAGGACATGAAGCAACCACAGTTGCTGTGAGTCACAGCCACGTTCATCACGACACAGCTAGCATACTAACTGACCCCAGGAAACCTCAGCCTGCTCTTTCCTCTGAATGAAGGAGCCAAAGTAATGGCAGAAGGTGCAGTGCACAGTTTTTAAGGAAAGTTTGCATGCTTGAACACTCCAGGACAAGCAAGCAGAGTTTCCCTGTTACAGACAATGCAACCTACCTAACAACTCTGTAAGATGTGGTTGCCAAGAGCAGCACAGTGGAGTCCAAATAAATAAGCAGTGGGCTATAGAAGAGTAAGCAATTCAACAAGCTTGTCTAGCTGAAACTGCTTCAAACAGTCTGATCAGAGCATAGCTATGTAGTCTGCTTTCAGCACAATTAGAAGTTCAAACAAAAAAATATACGCTCAAGTTTCTCTTCTACTCTACAGAAAGCTGTCTCTAGGACAGCTCTAGCTGACCTGTATCCTCACACGTCAAACGACAGCTACACTGCCATGCCACATTGGAGTACCTAGATTATGGTAGTGAATGCCCAGTTGGTCACATGAAATGTAAAGACTTACAGCTTACACAGAAGACTGACAAGGGCTGTGCTTGCAGCACCGTTGAAGTTTCAAACAACTCTTGATACTAACAGGTGTCGTCAAGATCAGTAGAACACAAATGAAGCGCTGCAAAGCGGTTTGAAGGAGTCCAAGCCATCCAGACCTAGGTTTAGCTTCCTTGGCGTACAGCATATAGCAACCAACAGTTTAAGAACACTTCTCAAGCAGCAGCATGATCTCAACTCCCCATATTTCACATCAACATCCATTTCAAGATCATTCCTACTGAGCCAAATATACATCTCCAGTGCACAGAATGAAAAGCTCCAGGTGATGAGTAATGTGATAATTCTGTACCTGGAAGCCCCATTATGTCACTTAGATCCCACACAAAGTCTTGCCATAGAGCAACAGCTTGTTTAGTCAGATATCTTTATTTGCTGTATCACCCAAGTGTACAAATACTGAATGTAGTTATACAAATTCAAAATATACTGTAGTAGAAATCCATCTGGGAAATGGAATGTTAAAGGTATTTACTTTATAAAATTTCTACACATAAGTTATTCCCACTTGCAACTTTCAAATATCAAGTCTACAACAACAGACTGCTTTGCGATCCTGGAAAATAGGAATTCTTCTCCAAAAAGATTTTCCACTAGATGAAGAATCAGTCAACAGCAAATTAATTTTTCCCCCCCAACATTTGACTCATTTTGAGTTATCAGTCAACAGGATGTAGCTACATCCAGAAAATTCATACGCAGTTCTGCTCTCATTTATACCAAGGAAGTCAACATCACTATCAACATATTTAAGTACTAGTCAAATAACCTCAGTGACAATATTTATTTTAAGCTTATGAAATTGAGCCAATAAGTTACCCCAGCCATTGAGTGCAATTGATTTTTTTTTTTTTTTTTAAATTCCTTCACATTTTCAGAATAAGGCTCCTTAGTTCTTGAGCAAGTCAATACAGCTTTGCAGGAGAGAGACGTTATTCTGGAAAGGAAGATAATTAGTTTCAGGTGAGTCAGACTGATTGTGTAAATCAGGTTTTCAACAATGAAGGAGCTTTCAAGATGTCAGGTCCATCCCCAGATTTTGTAGCTTGTGACAACAATTAAGAGACTGTACTGCAGAAACAAGTATTCAAGCACTGTCAAAAGCAGTCAGTGGTCTGCTCCTCTCTGTAAACCTGCAACTGTGACCTTGTTTGTGGGAGGGAGGAAAAGGACAGGAGACTAGATTTTTTTTTTTTTTTTTAAAGTGGGCCAAACAGAGCCTTTCTTATATCTAATTTAAGCACAGCACTGAAGTACTACCCATAATGAAGTCCAAGGAACGGAAAATTAGACTCTTTAGACTTCCCAAAAGAGGCTAGAGTTACTTCTTCAGGCTTTCCACTTTGTTCTCTAAATTAGCAGACCCTACAATTAGTATATGCATTCCTACATTAAGATTACAGCACGCAAAATGGCCTCTCCATCTTCCATCAAGTTTGCTCAGCACAGAGCCTCCCTTCACAAAGCCAAAAAGAGTCGACAGCTGGATCACAAGCTGCAGAACGTGCCCACAGCTCTCAGTAACGCATCCACAGCTGCCCACTATCAGGCATATTCAGGAGGGGTCAAATACCATAGATGAAGTGGCTTCACAGGAAGTTTAAATGAAAGGGCAGCCTGCTACATGCTAACTGAAAATTCTTACTCACAGGGCAACAGGCCAGTGTCCCAGGAATGACAGGCTGAAAGCCTTTGTCCCATAAGACAGTCCGAGACTGCTAGCACTTGTTCACTGTATATTCAAATACTTACAGACTTTCAATTCCTTTTCCTCCTCTTCTCTGGATCTCAGAGAACCTGACTGTTCTATTTTACAATTACTTAAATGGAAACCCAGCAAGTTGTAGGTTGCACATTATTTACTTATCTCAAGCTACCTCTGTTAAATTCTAAAGAACACACCTTTGCATGTTTTATTTCCAGTTCTGCCATTTCAATTAGGTTTTTGCGGAAGGCTGTTATTCTCTTCTGTTTGAAGCTTATCAATTCTGTAGGAAGAAAGCATAAGCATAGATGAGAGATGTACAAAGTAATGACTGAAGTTTCAGTAATGCCCTTTGTGTTTCATATTGTGCAACTCTAGTACAGAGTTTGACCAAAAAAGATTTAAGAGCTAAGTCTCACTGTTTCTAGCCAGAATATGCACTGATTCACATAGTAGTGTTATCTTAGTAGACAAGTTGCCTATCTGCTCTGAAACAGAAGGGTTTTGTAGGAAAACAACATGAATAAAATAGTGAGCCACACAAGCTCTGGGAGAGGCTGGAGCATTTGGAAACCAGGAATAGGAAGGAAGTTGTGTGCAACCTGAAGGTACATTTTCTCTTTAATACTGGCCAAAAGCATACAACTAAGCAGCAGCATTTGAGATTTGGTATCAGGCACTCAGCAGCAAGAGGACAGAGAAGAAGCCTGATTCCACAGTTGTTTGGTGTGGAAGCTAAGAACAAGAGCTCAGTCTAGAAAGCAAATGAGGGCTTATATTTAAGGTTGGTCTAGTGCAGACATGGCTCAGCTTCAGACAATCATTCTTCTGAAGATACAGTTGCAAAAATTTTTACATACATTTACACAGTCCCTAAGAATTTCAGACTACTTGCTACAGGAGAGTGTTCAGAAGACTACAGCTGTCCAAGGTAACATTGAAACCACAACTGCATTAAAATCTCCCTTGAAGATAAGTACAGCAAAGTCTTTTTCACCTTGTTTTGCAGATTCTGAAATCTTTTCAAACTTCTGGTAACAATCCTGTTGATGTGCCTCAGCCAGATTGACATCCTTGCTCTTTAGCCTGGCTTTGTCTAAAGCTTTGTTTGAATTTTCATAACCAACAAGAGCCCTTGCACGTCTGTACAGAAGATCCTGAAAGCAGACAGGAATAACATGTAAAAATCTTAAGAGGACTGCAGTCAAATTGAGATACAAACTACTTTAGCAGGAGGTTTCACTTCTGCCAGCACTAGATTATGCTTTTTCTAACAAACTGTTCTAACACTCTTTACTCTTAGCAAAGTAGCAGAAGTGTTTCACCCATACAGTATCACATGCTCAAGATAGTGATTTATGTCTTAATCAAGGAAGTTTGAGGGCTATTTTAGTTATAATTACTCCCTTTAAAACAGTTCCATCCTTCTGTAAGGTGGGCCTCCCCACCGAGTAGTAATAACACTACCTGTTGGAAGTCCAGACTCCACTAGTTGTCACATAACTATGCGAGAGGGCTCCAGTACTTAGGATTTACTTAAGGATTTTTAATTTGTCATCAGCATTTTTAATGGGTTATAAACACTGGAAGTATCAGAGTACTGCGAACTGAAACTCAATTGACTCTAACTCACAAGAATCCATTGAGTTGAGGCCAAAGAAGGCCAACAGTATCCTGAGGTACATTAAAAAAAAAGAACATGGCCAGCAAATAGAAGGAGGTTCTCCTCCCCCTCTACTCTATCCTAGGTGAGGACACACTGGAGTACTGTCTCCAATTCTGGGCTCCCCAGTTCAAGAAAGTCAGAGATCTCCTAGGAGTCTAGTGGAGGGTGACAAAGACAATTAAGGGCCTGGAGCATCTCCCATAGAGCTTCTTTACTGTCAGTGACAAAGAACTGAAACCAGCTGCCTAGAGAGGTTGTCAAGTCTTCTTCTCTGGAGATATTCAAGACTTGTCTGGACACTAACCTGTGCAGCATGCTAAAACAGGTCCCCTACGTAAAACAGGTCCCAACTTACATAGGTTGGACTCTATCTCTAGATGTCCCTTCCAACTCCTACAATTCTGTGATTCTGAGGTTTTTTTTTTACCTCTACATGCCAAAGAAACTGGCCAGATGTCTTAACTGTTTCAGAAGTGGACTAGACAGTGTCATAAATAGTTTCTATATTCTGCTGTCATTCAAAAGTGCCAGGTTTCTTAAGTGAGACAAGGGTCCACCTTCCTATCTTCTCAAAGCACAGAGATAACTGAGTCACAATTCCACAAAAACAAGCTTCACAAAGAAGACAGTTCTCACCTTAGCAGCATCTATATTGAGCATGTAGTACCTCAACAGTTCAGAGAGCTTTAAGTCTTCATCAGATGAAACTCTACTCTCCACCTTCTGCAGAAGAAATTATAGAATCTGCATGTAACAGGACAGTGTCATCCAGACTTACAGATCTGTGTTATTTTTACTTTTCCCAAAGCTTCTCTTACCCTGAGTTTCTCAAAGAGTTCAGCAACTTTCAGCAAGTACCTCGGGGAGGAAAATGCATAAGCATTAGATATGGATGCAGACAAGAGATTCAAAAGATGGTCTAGGCAGAAACATGGACAAAAGATTTAATGCAAGAGGTGCTGGATTCCTTTTTAACAGAGTTGAGCAACTAGGCACCGTTTAAAATAATAAACAAGTAGCATTAACAATCCTGTAAAGAATTTCCCACTGCTACTCTCCAAGAGTGACAGACTATTTTGTTGGTGTTGTTTTTTGTTGGTTTTTTTTCCAGCTGGTAAACTGCATTAGCAAAGCTCAGTACATTGTTATCAAGATAATTTATATTAGAATGACCAGGCTTCCACAGTGGAAAAAAAAACTATTTTGGAACTTCAGAGGTTCTAGTGTAGGCTGTAAATGTATTTAATACATCAGAATACAGGGGTGCAACTCTTCCTATATTCTCTGAGTTTGTGATATGAATAAAATTCAGGGCTTCTATACTGAAGAAGATTTGAGCAGTACAGTTCAGCTCTGCCACACAAGTGGCATGAGATCAGTTAGGTAAGTAACCAACGCAGCTGATATTCTTTCCTCTGATGCATCAGGTGAAAGAAAGTTTCAATGCCATCTGTGTACAATTCAAGAAACTCGAACTAATTATGACTCAACCCCCTGAATTTCTGAAAACTCAGAATGTTCTGAGCAATTAGCATTGCTTACTTTTTGATAACTGTAGGTTCTTCTAATGCCAGGCTGTTCAAGCAAGCTGAAGTATAAATATAGTCATCTGCAATATCTGCAAGAACAAGAGAAGGTTTTCAGGCTACAGAAATCACTAAATCCAGTGAGACTGCAGGTCTTTAGAAAGGTCTTTGAAAAGATTCACTTTTACGAGATCTTGTCATCTTATCTGCTTTTGCACATGCGTCCTTGATTCTGTTGTGGTAGTTTACAAGAAAAGTCTTCTCTTGCTCAAAAAAGTCATCTACTTCCTGAAAGAGAGTATAACCTGTTAAGTTACTTTACCACAGAGCACAGGCATTTTTCTATTTAAGGAAGGGTCTAAACAAACACCATTAGCTACCTGAGTTTTATGCCTGTCAATCTCTATTGAAAAGTAGAGTTCAAGAAAAGACCCTGAGAATTTCTAAATAGTTACACATTGAAGCAAAGATGGATTTGACACACAACTACTCAGTGCTGCAGGCTGAAGTAACCAGAGAGCCCTCAAAGCTAACAGCTGTTACAATTTCGTTTCCCAGACCTTTAACAGCACAGTAATTGAATATTAAGCAGTTTACAAGCTTATTTAAAATCCATACAAAACATATCTATTGTAACACCAGCTTCATGACATGGTGTTTAGGATAGCAAGTCTATTAGAAAGAGCTACCATGGCAACAAAATAGAAAAGCTGAAGTTGAACCACTTACAGAAGCCTGATATTTTATTTTCACCAGTAGGAGCAGAAACCATAACTTGTTTTATTCAGACCTCTGAAGTAGACAAAAGCATGTTTGCTGAAGGGAAGATTCCCTCTTTCCCAGCAGGATCAGATGTTAGGGCAACTCTTGCACATCAGATTCTTGAAATACACTCAAGTTTTCAGCAGTCTATACCCTCAGTGTCTTTTTTTATTTATTTAAAATCAAAAGGCCACTCTGCACATCTTGGGACAGCAGTAAGGTTTGCAGTAGTAAATCTAAGCCTCACATACACTAAGCCTAAAGCACATAAGTAATGTCCCTTAAGAAATAAGAAGCCATCAAGAATAAAGCAAATAGGAGGCAAACCAACTACCTTACCTTGACTCCAGACAAGAGGATTTCATCTGCACTCTTTACCACACTTTTTAGAAGGAAACCAAGCATCTCTTTCGTGTTTTTCCTCCGAACACTCAGCTACAAGAGAGGCCAAGACAGCTTCAAATTAATCCAGGATGGATGCAGGGAAAAGATGACGACTTTAATGTTAACAGAATATTAACATCACTTATGTCTAACATATGACAGAGCAGCCTGATTTACAAGCTCTCCTTAACACCCCTGTAAGTTCTATAAAAGGACAAATAGCTTTACTAGCAGTTCAACTGCTCCACAACAGATTTTTCTCATTCCCAGGAACAGCTCAGCTTCTCCATAGGTAACATCAATCAGCATCCACCACTTATGAGGTACAAAACAGACGCAGTACCAACTTCAGCACACCGATATTCTTCATTTTAAAGGATCATGAAAGAGACAGCAGAAACACACCTGCACAATATTTGCTCCTAAGATCCAAGGACACATCAAGTTGGCTTCCTAACTTGATTACAGTTAAGAAATGCAGCAAAGTGACCTAAAGACAGGCCTCTATCTTTCAACTACTACTACTACTACTGGCAACATCTTGCTGACACTGTGGGTAGACTTATATAACATTCTAACCTAACCACACAGAAGAGTGGCAGCACTTCTAACACCCTGCCTCACATGCAAAGTAGAAGGTCTCTTACATCCTGGTCATACTCCAAGAAAACACAAAAATTGTGATCTTTGCTGAGCACAGGGTGAGAAGAAATCCGCTGAAGGAAGATTTCATGTGATGACACAGTCTTCTTGAAGACAGCGAGGTATTCACTGAAAGAAAAAAAAAGCCTCAGATCCATCTGCAACTCCACTGCACAAAGAATTGCTTCAAGTTTTCCAGTAAAAGTATTCAGTGTGCCTCTGAAACAGCCAGCTAGCAATTAAGAAGCTACTTACAGTCTGTAACCAGGAAATTTTCCAGGTTTGAGAGAAGCTTAACGTACTCCCTAATTCCAGGATTTTACAGAATATCAGGGAGCAGCACCTTCAACATCAGTTACCATTAAATATATTGCTCTCCCAGAAGGCGGCTTTACATTCAGCCCTTAGCAGCATTCTGATAGATACATTCATCCTACTTACGCTTCTAGCTCTTGCTTCATTTTGGCAAACTCTTCTTTGGTCATAGATACTTCTCCTTCCCCTAGTTTCTGCATCTTCTCTCTGGGACCATCAAAGTCAGGCTTGGAAGGGGCTGGAGGTATCTAGCAAAGAAATAATTGGTTAGGGATAAACAGTAACGATCTTAAGCTTTACAAAGTTACTTCTAGCAATCTGTGGGAGACGGTCTTTTTGCAGGGTCGTGTCAAGCCAGCAAGGCTCTGCAACCAGGAAGCTCAGATGCCTAAATCTCTCATCTTCCCTCCAGCTCTGTGCACTTCGAAGCCAAACAAGAGAAAAAAACCTCTACTACACACTGCATAGCCAGCTGCCTGCTGTGGCAGTTGAATAACCTTAAGACAAGAGAGACGACTTAATGGATCAGTCTATTGATCCACCTTCGGGCAGATACTAGTCCCACTGTGGTGTCAGGGACTGAGGCCTGTGGCTGTTTTGCTGCTCCCAGCCAACCTATAGGGAAAGTTAACGCTAGAGCTATACCACTTGAGCGAGTAAGAAGAAAGCATAAGGAATATCCATGTCATGAAATACTAACAGCAGTAGTAAAAAACAGACTTCGTGTCTTTACTAATTTCCACATTAAATTACCACAGAATTCTGTTTAGAATCACATTTTCAGGAACTACTTACAATGAGTCCTGCATACTCCTCAGTTTCACTGAGTGTGTCATGCAGCCACACAAAATCTTCATGCTGCCTTGTAACTGAAAACTCAGGACTTTGAAAAGCTGGCAGCGTAGTCTGGAAGAGAAGATAAGGAAGCCTCACTGTTTTGTAAATGAATGCTTTTAGAAACAGTTCTATTTTCAAAGGAAGCTATTTTGCCTAGTAAGAGCCTCGCCTACTCCTTTTCAGCTGAGCTGGCACTCAAATGAGAGCCTTACTAAGAACATTGTTTGAAGAAAAGGCACTGCTGTAGAACAGCATTCATACAGTTTATTTAGTGGCACCTCACAGTAGCTGCCTTCCCCCCAGCCTTCCCAGTCTCAAGCTACTTTATTTATTTATTTATTTAAAAGTAAATCCAACCTAGTGTATCAGTTACCTTGTCTTAAAGGGCGCATTCAAGTCTTAAATGTAAAAGTTTCTGCCTTTATATCCTCAGGCCACCTTTAAGTGGAAAAGCTCCATTTAATTAGATTTTCCTCACTGCCAAACCCACTTTTGCAGGTATGCTCATTACAAATACATAGATTACTTCCATCATATCCACAAAGAGCACTTTCTAGCCCCGTTACCTTACCTTAGTATGTACCGTGAACTTCACTTTGTCCTTTTCACTCAGAGCATCAGGTATATCAATTTGAAGAGAAGGATCAACATTCAGGTCTACAGATACAGACCTCAGCTGCAACGGAATTCACAAAAATCACAAAACAAGCTCTGGTCAAGCATCCAGTAGGCTTAGTGAAGCTAAATCAGTCAGTGGCATTGTCAACAAGAACCACATTGCAGCAGACTGCTGCCTCAAGGAGCAGCACGCACAGGGATCTAACAGCCCCAACACAACCCTCTCTTCCAAGCACATAAAATAAGAATAGTGTTACTTAAGAGCCCACAGACCCAACTGTCTAGGAACAACTCAGGGTATTAGTGAAGTATTCCTAGAAAGAAGCATCTTCCCTCCAGTACTTCTTCAGCTTTATTTACTTAAGCACATCAAGCCAAAGACTGTTAAATCATTTTGAAGGGAGTAACAGCACTAATAGTTCTCCTCAATTTCTATCTCCACAATATATGGAAGAACAGCTCTTAAGAGCCTAGTCATGTGACCTGTTTCCTTATCTTTACATCAGACAGCTGCTTTGGCACAAGAATTAAGTGATTTTTATCCACCAAACTAGGCTCTTCCTCCTCTGGCTCAGATTGGCCACTGCTGCCACTCTGATCTCCCAAGACTACTGCACACAAAGTTGGTTCCACAGTGGCACTTCTACTAACTGTTCTAACAGCTGTGAAGGTTTCTTTGCCCCCAGGGAAAAATGGAGCAGATGCCTAAAACCTCCTTAGACTCCTAGAAGTCTAAGATCCAAGTGTCTGCCAGAAACAAGACAAGAACCCAAGAATACTGGAGTACTAACCCTGCATCAGTATAATCCTATTTTCAAAGTACCTGGCATCAAGTTAATAGCTGCTGGAATGCACACGTGCTATTTAAAGAAAGCCCCCATGAGCTAGAATGAGAACTAGTTTCAGAGATACCTGAACTTTGCTTTATGAAAGCTATTTATACTTGTAACTACAAGCCTCTACCTCTCCTGAATTCAAGTCTTACCTTACCTAGACAGAGTCTTTGCCTGGCAACATTTTAGTGCTATTTGCTTCTATTGGAACACCTATGAAGAGGTTTCTGAATATGCTATGTGGATGTGCTCCAAATAAACCGTTAACCAGAGATCACAGAGCATATCAGGTTCAAAAACCAGACACACCAGACCCTCACACTGATTCAGACAGGAGCTTTAAACAGATCCAGTGCCTTTCTTAGCAGGAGACACTTCTTTCCAACAGCTTAAGTCAAGGTATGTGGGATACCAGGGCAGTGGCCAGGTTATGCTGAACCTTACTGCTTTACAACACAAGCTTTACTCATTTTCTCCCTCTTGTTTATGAAGGATGCTCAATTCAATGATTTGTACTACACTGCTTGTACCTAAATGTTCAGGGCAAACAGCCACAGACAGCTACATGACCTCAGAAGGAAGCAAAGGATTTTAGGCATATGTAGCATAGATAACTGATGATTATCGATACATGCATCCAATTCCTACATCAAGTAGATGCAGCGATCTAGATATCAAGAAATACAAGCTATTGCTATTAAGAACACAAGTTGCTGCCAATTTCAGACATCTATTCTAGAAGCCAGCAATAGCCCCAGCCTACATTACGGTGGTTCTTGCATTACAAGTCTTGTCTCGTAAGAGGCTCTTCAACCAGCACTGCAGTCTAACAAATCATTCTTATTTCCTGTGTAAGGGAGAAACTGCTGATCAAGGTCACAACACAGGAAGTTTGCTGAAGAGCAATTGTCAGAGCCAGGCCAAATCCCAAACCCATCCGTTAGAGATTATTTTGAATACATTACCAGAAAAAAAGCTCAAGAGATGGGCTGAGGCGGTACCACTTCACCACCCTGCAGCATATTGGCTAACAGAAGCCAGGAGCCTGCACATACCACCTGCTAACCACAAGATCCAGCAGCAAACCCACAAGTAGTAGCACTAGACAGCATCTGAGCAAGGCCATCATACAACACATTGCTCGAATCCTGCTTTAAGCTTCTGTGTAAAGCTGCATAAGAACTGATGAGGGGTTGTCCTTTTTAAGGTGAAAGCTTTATTTCCAGGAGCTTTGGAAACCTCTCCCCCCGTCATCTGGCCATCTGTGAACTGAAATCCTGGCAGACAGCAAGCTTCCCCACTAGCCTGCAGAGGACACAGCTGCCAGGGTGGCACACAGCTGCCTCTAGCCAGGCTGCTGCTGGCTAGATTCCAGCTATCACTAATAGTTACTGTTAGCAAATACGCTCAGATCCCCACACCTAAGAGAGGGATACCCCAAACACTGTGCTTCCAGAGCGTATCCTGTAAGGGCAGCCCTAGCAGCCCAGACACCGCTTAGGTCTGAACGTATGATACTCCTGACACCATGGGGACCCAGCCACAGAGTGAGGCTGCTAATCACACTCCCCTACATGCACACAGCTCTCCCCAGGAAGGCACAGATGAAGCATCACAACACAGAGGTGTGGTTCAAACATCTCCAACAGCAGCCACACCACTCCACTCAAGTACTAGAGGCAGGCTAGGTAGAAGGCCACTATTCAAGGAATAGTTCCACAAGGAGCAGAGCTTGAAGTTTGTTGCCATCTGAATGAAAGGCAACTTTCAGAATTTCCCAGCTGCTTTCATGCCAGATAACACCAGCAGCCAAAGCAGTGAGATGCAGCCCCTCTTACTGTGTTTTGCATCCTGCTTACTTATCTCCACTGTCCAAACAGGATCAGCAGAACTAACAATACAAACCGCTGAGTCTGTGAAAAGCACGATAAGCTAAAGGAAACTGCCTCCTCTCAGCTAAACTACAGGAAAGGTTACACAAACCAGCCAGTCCTCAACTTGGGAGATTTCTTAAGCGTCACAGAGGAAGTAACCTGTGATTAGATGCCATCCTCAGCTCTCCATCCTAGTAGTTGCCTGCACAGGAGGTAGAGATAAATGTATGAATGTAAGATGGTACTGCTTTGTCAGATTAGAACAATTTGGCAAGAACGTGCAACCTACAACTTCATAACTCCCCAGTAATGCTACTTAAGCAGAGCTTTGCGCTCCAGCAGGGCCTCATTTACAAAGAACAGCTAGGAGTCAGCAGCAGCACAACTCAGAGCAGTACATAAAGACAAACAGCCCACAACAGGAGGGTCCAAAAACCAGAACAATAATCAAGAACTAACTGCTGAAGAAGTCTTGCACTTTCTCCTGCCCTAAACATCTACAGTAAACACATGACTATCTAGCCTATGCATAAAGATCACTGCAGGCTGAAACATTTCATTGTTGTAGAGTAGCACAGGATTATCAACTCTATCCCAAGCCTTAGCATCAGTTCTTTCAGGAATATGAAACTGAGGATCAGAAAGCCACCGGTCTATTCTAGCCCTATGAAGGTCACTGTGGCTTCTAACTCCAGGCCAGAGACCTTTCAGATTACACAATCATGGCAGAAAGGCTCACACTACAAAGAAAGCATTGACACATCCCAGCTTTGTGCAGAGCACTGTTCCCCCATAGCATTTTTCCACTGAATTGGAACCAAGGAGCTCTTCCCTCCCCCCCACCTCCTCCTCTGCCCACCCAAACTTATGAGCTCTACAAGGCACTAAACCAGTGAGCAGCCAGAGCAGATGTTCTACAGTAATGCCTGGTCTTGACACAATCACCTGCCCTGGCAGCACCAGCAGTTCATCTTTCAGGATGCTTGCTATCACTCCTCTTTCACCCATCCCATAAGCAGCAATGACAAAAAAAAACATGCTTACAGTCACAAGCAGGCTGTGCAGAGCCTTTTTTCATCTCCAGGCCCCAAGGCTTGTTCCTTTACCATATCAGGCACCCAGCTCAAGATCTCCCTGGGAAACTACCCTAGTTGACCCCCCCCAGACTGCCATGCCTAACAACTCTTCTCCATCAGGACACATTTTGCAGCTAGAACATCATTGCTTCCTTCCTACAATGAGCAGAACTAAGATTCCCCATCTCAGCAACCAGAATCTAGTCTGTTCTTCCTCACATCCTCAGTGCTGGGGGATAAGACCAGAGCTCAGCAGCTGGTGAAAGCATGCCTCCCTTACAGCAGAGAGGTGCTAAGGATGGTAGCTCCTTTAGCAGCACAGCAGGGAAGCACCTGAATTGGGTTGGAAACTTGAACACTCCAACTAGCAGGGCACAGCATCCCTACTGCCACCTTTTATTTCCCTTCTGCAGTATGATTTTAGAAGTTTATGGTTTGCAGCAACTTTTACAGTACTGATGCCTTCAGCATCTCATGCCTCTTTACCAACTTATAGTGGGACCCTCAGGACTTCACGTGGATTCAAGAAAATCTGATCCCTGTTCAGTAGAGATATCAGTCACCATAGCTCCTACTTAGCCTGACTTGGCAATTAGAGCAGGACACCACACAGAGCTCTCCAGAAAAACAGATAATCATCACATTGATTGCTTCAAGCTTCAGAACTCATATTATGGTACTAATGAGAACACTATGATAAATCACTCAATCTTGACACTAAAGAGAAAAGATAGCAAGGAGAATACCACTGACCAATACAGGCAGAATTTTACAGCAGTTTTTCTACTGCTTAAAGGAGAAAGTTGGACCACCTAAGTACAATGCAGCACTGATCATCACCTACTCAGGCTTCAGCTTGGCAAGTTTCTGACCAGGCCTCACTCAGCACAAGCACATCTTCATACTCGCAAGCTCCCAGTGGAGCTCCTCAGCCACAGAAGCTGCCTGGTTCTGGCAAGTGTCCCAAGCTTTAGAGTCACATTCTTTGCAATTTAGCGTTAGTTTTCCTGAAGTGACTCAGTCACTTCTCCATTCTAACAAAAGAATCTGCTAGCGCAAGCAACTGCATACAACATTTGGTTGGTAGTTAAATAAGTATCCATATTCATTCTGAATGTCAGATTAATCCACGGGTTTGCAACATAACTTGGCTTCCAGAAGGAACAAGTAACACTTCAGTGAGAGCTTACACTTCAGAGAACCTTCTACCAATTATCAGCTGCAGCCAGCTCCCCTCTTGCTGATTGCCTCCTTGTTGTCAGTCAACCTGCAGCCACAAACAGGACAGAAGTAATTACATCTGCCACCTACCCAGCAGCCACTTTTTTCCCCCCCTAAACAGAGTAGTTTAGTTAAACCAGTTTAAGTGCTCTCTCAAGGCCACTAGAATATTATGACATTTTCTGGCAGTTTCTATAGAGCTTTCAGTTACAGAATGTCTCATTTCAACACCCAGGAGTTAACCAGCAGCCCTTCAAGTGGCCAGCACACATTCAGTATTACTTCCTAGAATTGCATTTCAGTCATATTCAGCACTAGTAGCTTAAGATTCCCCTTAATCAAAATACTAAAAATATATCTGAAAGTACACTGCATCCACATAGCAGAGCCAACACAGTAGATGAGAAGCTTTGATTTCACAGCCTTTGGGACAGAACTGCTATTATTTCTCTGGCATTTAGTTGAAATAGTCCTGAAGTTGTCCAAGTTACACATAACCAGGAAAACTGAAGCAGGCTTCTTGTACGCAGTCTTTACCTTGCTACTTACACTACAGAAAACTCTCCCAAATCTGTGATTTTTGTACCACACAACTCCAGTGGCGGAATTATTTCATTATTCCCTCTTAATCTTTGTTTTAAGCAAAGTAGCAGCTTAGTTTATTCCCAGTGAGATGCTATTCCTCACTGAGTGCAGAGCTTTCCAATCAGGCAGAAAGGCAGGACAAGGGAAATGGCTTTAAGTTGAAGGAGGGAAGATTTAGGTTGGATGTCAGGGGGAAGTTCTTTACTGTGAGAGTGGTGAGGTGCTGGAACAGGCTGCCCAGAGAGGTCGTGGATGCCCCGTCCCTGGAGGTGTTCAAGGACAGGTTGGATGGGGCTCTGGGCAGCCTGGTCTAGGATTAGATATGGGGACTGGTGACCCTGCCAGCAGCAGGAGGATTGGAGCTTGATGATCCATGGGGTCCCTTCCAACCCAAGCCATTCTGCAATCCTGTGAAAGCAGGCTCTACGGCTACAGCACCTGTTGCCACTGGCTGTGCAATAAGCTCCCTGATCACTCTGCTCTCCTGTAAAAGGGATCCCAGACTTGCTCTTCTCTCAAGTGGTCAAACAGCTCTCTACAGAGGAAAGGAGCTGTAGGAATGATACTGCCACCATTCAGGGTTCCCACATTTCAAGCCAAAACCTCTAACTCACCTTGCTCCAAGTAGCAGCACATAGGAACTCCCTGCACTCCAGGAATCAAGCACCATCTTCGGCAACACAGGCCAAATCTACCCTGCCATAGCAATTTGCCTGCAGAGCACAGCCTGAGGCAAAGCACTTCCAGTCTATATTTCATCTACAACATGGAGTACGCCCAGCTAAGATGGAAATTGTGCAACAGAAGAAAGCCCCTAATCTATACTCAGCATTTCCAAGAATGCTTTGCCAACCTTCCACAGTGAAGCCAGGAACAGTAAAAGGGACTCTGCAACACATGCAATCTTCATCTCCCGTGGATCTGAGATTCTGTCAGTAGTCCAAACCACTAGGCCAGCTTTATAGACTCCTACAGACTGGACAGCACACTATTCCTATTCAGTAACTTTTACCTTGCTAGTAGTTCATCTCCCTATAAAGTGTTTTCTTGCAGAGCAAAAGACCAAAAGACCTAGTAGGGAACTCCTTTCCAGAGCATCTAGTAGAAGTTGGCTAGAACAGAGAACTGCCATTCAGAAGTGCTAACAGCAGGTTCCCAGCAAAAGCCTAGAAACATAATATTTCATCTTTCACTGACCATTGTGAAGGAGAGCAGCCACAACACTCACTCCCACTATTTTGATCTATAACGGTATTTTGAACACTTAAGTCTGCAGTTGAATAATCAAGCATTTGAACAAATCCAGTACATTCACACAAGCTTTGCTTGGCAGTCCCACTGCTTGCTTCACTTTCTGAAGTGCCTTTTCCTCTCCAGGACACTATCTTTCCCACTGCACTTCCAATCCCCCTTATTCTACCGTCCCTCCCTTCCTCTTCCTATATATCTTGCCACTTCTGCTTTACCTACTCAGGGTCAGTTTTTAGTTTATACACACCAACAATTCCTACTCAAGGTTAGCACACAATGATGTTTCCTTCACAGCCAGAAACTTAATCTACTGCCCACATACCTAAACAGGAACAGACAAGATAGCTATGTTTCTATCTTCACTGCAACTGCTGGAATCCCAAGACAGCCTTACTACCTGAATAGCTAGTTAATCTTTGGTCATTTTCTGCTGGAGTTTAAAGCTACTTGAACCCTTAGTGGGAACATTTTCCCCTCCCTTCAGTGCTCCTGCCCATTATGTTAGAAAAGCAGACTAATACACAGTTACTCATTGCTGCAAGACAGCTGATGTTTTACCTTCTCACTTGCAGATTCTGCAGCCTACAAAGGCTTTCACTCACTACTCTCAAGTGATAGATATTTTACCTAATGCTTGTCATTTAATGCATAGCAGAAAGAAGTAGCAGCTGATTCGCAATTCAAAGTGAAGAACTAGAAGGCAAGACACTTAAGATTCTGTCAGTTCAATAGGTCAAGTTTGTATTAAAAGTTTCATGTTCTGTGGAAGCAGATGGAAGGAAAGAGGTTATTTAACAAGATTGTTCAAGACAGATGTATTTTTTACATCTAGAAGAGACCAATCAATCCAGTTCCAACCCTCAGACATGGGCAGGGCTGCCTCCCACCAGCTCAGGCTGCCCAGGACCCACCCAACCTGGCCTTGAGCATCTCCAGGGATGGGGCACCACAGCCTCTATGGGCAGCTGCACCAGAACCTCACTATCTTTAAGTAAAAAGTTTCCTCTTTATATCTAAGTCTCCCCTCTTTTAGAGGGGGCATTTCTAGCCTTTCAAGTCCTACAAGGCACCTCCCAGAAGGTTGGAGAGGACACTGAGAAGACAACCCTCAAGCAGCACAAACAGCCTGAAGCACAATTCACCTTCCAGAGTTCAGTTTAGGCATAATGCAAACTATATTCAGCTCCAGATTACAGAGGCTGGCCAGGCAGCTGACCCCTGCTGGAAGGCTGCCTTCCCTTCCACCCGGGGTGTTGCTGCCAGCTATTAAGGCATACAGACTAAACCAGGCAGACCACTTGGTAAAAGAGGCATCTTTAAGCACTGCCAGCACGCACTCCCATTAAACACCTCACGAAGTTCCCGTCTCAGCCTTTAAGCTGCACCTCCTCTGAAACAGCAACCGAACGCAGCAAACCATCCCACACACATTCAGCGCCGAGACCTGAGCACTCGGTCAGGGCTTCGACGTCCCAAGGCAGCACCACACGGAACGCAAAACTAAGTCGGTGCCCGACCACAACAGCTGGAGCGGGAGGGAGGGAGGCACAGCCCAGTGACAGCTGACAGCCCCTCAGCGCAGGCCACCGCCTGGGACCGCACCTCACAACGCTGGCAGCCCGGCGGAGCAGGCCAAGCGCACTGCGGCCCAGCTCCTGGCACGGCCCGGCGCTGCCCCCTCACCTTGCTTTGCACGCCGTCCCGAAGCAGAGCCATATCTCGGTACTACCAGCCGCCCGCCTGCCGCCTCACGGCCGCCGCCGCCCCTCATATAGCGCGGGGCGGGGCCGCTGCGCCCGGCCCCTCGGCGCGGCGGCCATCTTAGGTGAGGGCAGCGTGCTGTTTGCCTTCATCTAAGATGGCGGCGTAGCGCTTAACTCTTTTTTTTTTTTTCTCTTCACGATTTGGGGAGCTTTACAAAAGCAACAAAAACCCAACAGAGAGGAAGATAGAACAGATACCGTGGGATTTATCGCCGACTTTCTCCGCTGCGGTGGGAAAGGGCTGGCGGCGGGGAAGAACTACGAATTGGACAAGCCGCGAAGCGCAAGCGCGTGGGCGCTGAGGGAGGCTGCTGTCACGCATGCGCGCAGGCGGCGGCGGGAAGCGTGGCGCGCAGGTTGCGGCGGTTGGCGCTTCGTTCTGAGGAAACGAGGACGGGCTGGGCGCCTTAGCGGGCACACGCCGCGCTCCGCAGCGCGGGGGAAGCGGGGTGAGGCTGTGCGGGGGTCGGTAGCGAGGGGAGAAGGCTCTCATGGGGTTCGCTGAGGGAGAGTGGTTGCATGGCTGCTGTGCCATCCTTTCGGGGATTCGGTGCTGTACCTGGGATTGCTCAAGGAAGTTTTTTTCTTTACTTTAAGCCTTTTTTTTTTTTTTTTTTTTTTTCCTCTGCTTTGTATTTCCAGTCTGGTAAATTATTTTTTTATGCGCTGAGTAGCATAACAAATACGCAGTGGTTGATCCATTGTTTATTCTGTTCTGATCGATAGGCTTGGGTGAGCAGAGTAATGGTCATCAAACAATATTCTGAGAAGCTGCAAGTTTAGATAATATTGCGCTGGTTTGTTTTTTATTGTCTTGGGTTGAGTTTGTGCTGCAAAGCTAGCTGTAGTGCTCCTGGTCCTGGGTCAGAAATGCCACTACGTGACACAAAGTTCTGATTAATCTTATGGAATTATCCAGGTTTAAATTTGCTTTTGGCAAGTTAATTTTGCATCAGGTCACATGCTGTTTGCAACCTTGATGTTTTATGTTAGCTTTTTGTTAGATCAGTTATTATTTGCCTAAACCATACAGAGTCAGTGTGAAAAAGTGAAGCCAGTGAAGAAAAACTACAGTGTGTCTGCTTACTCCTGATTAAGCTTCTACAGCTGGAAGGTCTTGTCCTTCGTAGATCGAGAACAGTTATTATGGGAACGGAGTCCAAGGTCTCATCCTTTTGTTACAAGATTCCTTGATCTAAACAGCTGCAGCTGGTATAGCCCCATTTTTTTTGCAAGCTGTTCTGTGCAACAGATTCCTGCACCCACACTTTTCTGCCCCTGCAGTTCCACATGAGTTCAGGATCTGTCCATGCAAAACAACTCCTATCATATTTTTTGATGTCTGTGTTGCCCACAATTTGGGTGCTGTGTGAAGTGCTGTATAAGAAGTGTGGTGAAATAAAAGAGTTTTAAAGCAAGATGCTAATGTTGCTTGGTGATGTGTTGCTCCTATTCTTTGTTTGCACAGGGTAGATGGCAGAGATCTTTGTGGTGGTAATCACATAACTCTGAGTGGGAGAATCAATTCTGCAATTATGTAGTATTGATTTAAATTACACAATTCAAGTATTTATTTTAGTTATGTTTATAGGCATATTTGTGTTGTTTTCCCCTGCCCCTTTTAGGACTGTTTGTTACAAATCGTTGAGTTTCATGATATTGTTGCTGTAAGAGCATCCTCTTTTGCTCCTTTTGGTACTGGAAACATCTTTATGTTTGCTGATTCCAGTTCTGCCAGCCAGCACTGGTTCTTTTCAGAATTGTTTTCTGTTTCATTGCTAATGTGTTTTTTCTGTTATTGTGTTAGTAATCTAAAGGAGTTTTGATGGCATTAAGTGTATGAAGGCACCATAGCAGATTTTTATTTGGCAAAAGGCAAAAATAGGTTGATAGTTATGTGTTTTATGACTTTGGAAATAACAAATTTATTTTTCTACAGGGGGAAATTATGATAGCCTACAGACCAGTCCTAACAGAAGGAAGAAAACTATAGGTGCTCACAAATGCTTCTCATCAGAATGAAACTCCTACAGCTACTGGCTCGGAAATCTGAGAAACTGGAAATGCTTTTTCAGCCACAATTTTACCAAAAGCAGTTCCCATATATGTGTCTGGCTACCTCTGCTCATCTTTATAGCAAGAAGAAAAAAGCGAACAGTTATGAACAAGTTGACCAAGAAAAATACAAAAGCTTGGTATGCTCTGTTACATCTTACAAAGCCAGTGCTCAAACACCAGAGACAATATTTGAAGAAGACAATTTATTATATGGACAACCGCTTAAACGTAAATCTTCAAATAAAGTTGAAACAAAAACTCCTAAGAATTGGGTTTCTCTAATAAATCCCAAAAAGACAATTCCGCTTGTGAGCAGCAATTCAAACCGCCCCATGAAAATTGCTTTACAAAAAAACAAAATACCCAGTGTTACCCGTATTCTTCAACAGACCATCTCTCCGCAGCAGGCCTTTTATCTAGAAAGATGGAAGCAAAAAATGATACTGGAACTTGGGAAAGATGGTTTTGAAGAGTATACTAAAAGTAAGTCTTATCACGGTGTGGTGACAAAGCAGAAGCAATGGTATGTCCCAATGGTGACAACTGTCCAGACTAGCATTGCTGGAATATCTGGTTCTAGAAGTTGAGTGTTTTGAAAATCCATTAAGTTGTTTCATTTTCAGAGGTCAGAGTATATTATGAGGGCACATGTTGTCAGTGTAAGCTCTAATCTTTGTTTGAGGACCGTTAAAACTGATCCGGAAATGAGCGGAGAAAATAGAATTACACTGTAGACTCCTTTGCTCTATCCTATCTGCCTCTGCTGTTTCTCTGTTTGCTGCTTTCTCTACAAATATATGTTTTCCAGCTGAATTTATTCAGCCTGTTTGGAGATACAAAGGTATTTTATAACTAGGTGGAAAGAAGCATTCTGAAATTATATCGTCCTGATTGTTCAGAAGACTGCACATATTGCTGTATATGCTGAAGTTCATCAGAAACCGTGTATATATGGTATATACAGCTTCTTCCATGAAGTTCAGAGGTTTTAGAGGTTCTCATTTAGCGAAGTCGCATACAAAAATGACTTCCCTCAAGCTGTAGGGCTGAAGACAGTCAGAGGAGGCATGGAGGATAATGCCTTTTGCAGAAAGGCTGGTAAATACCCTCTAGCGCTCCTTACTTGAACAGTTATTCTTTGGAAAACTGTATGTCCTTCTTTATGCTCTTCTCAGTTACTAAGCACTTGACTGAATAAGCTTACTAGGTAAAACAGACACAAACCTGATACAGCTATTTAAAATTATTCTTCTCTGCAACATTTCTGAGATAAGCCCTTACTGTACAGAACTATGCCCATCCACTTCAGATTTGTTTCATTCAAGTGAACCTGTACAACATAAAAAGCAAATGTGACGAGAAACATAGAATAATGTTTTTAAATTTACAGAAATTCTCATTTGGAATACACAGTAAAATAATGCCATTGACTAAACAGTGAAGTTCTTATTTTCTTTCTGTGGAATTAATGAAACCAAAACAAAATAAAGTAAGCATTAATACGAGAGAGAATTTCTCTTGATAGTTTTTTTGCTGTCTTACTGTATTCCCTGCCCTACATCCTTAAGCCTTCAGTATTAAAAGGTGGCTAGTTTAAGAGTTACTTTGTAAAATATCTATTAGGCATGCTTGCCACATATTATGTATAGTGCCTAAAATGTTGCATCTTTCCTAGATCTTTTCCTCCAGGGAGAGCTTTTTCATGCAGCTTTGGAATCTATATTTCTGCCTGAAGAGATGGCTGTTAAGGAGCAAGGAGAAGACTCTGCTGTTTCTGGCTACCTATCAAGCGTGCAACATGTCCTAAAAGATATCAGTGAAGTTAAAGCTCTGGAAAGTGCAGTTCAGCATGAAACTCTTCAGTATCTGGGCCTGGTAGACTGCGTGGCTAAGTATCGGTGAGGTGCTGGTTCTCTAAGAAGCCAAATAATGTCCAGCTGCTGTGTGGTGTTATGTGGCATGTGGGGAGCTGTGTTGGTGAGCTACAGAGGGGGAGCTAGAAGGATATTCAAGAAGGGTGATTTGGAAGGACTCAGAGGTGAATCTGCTGACAGAATTGTTATAGTGCCTTGTGGAGGATTTGTTTTTGACCAGAGTGTGAGCAGGGCAGTTACCAGGAATTGCAGGAAGTCTTTTTTTGAGATCTAAACCACCAGCAAGGGGAAGATTTTCTTAGCTTGGAAGTAATAATGAGCAGCATGACTTTGGGTGGAAATGGGTTGAAAGTGATATGACTTCTTTTGTTGTGCTATACCTTGTTTCCTGCTGTGAGTGAAGTTAAGCTGATACATTCTCTCTTGTCTTATGCAGAGGACAGTTATGTGTGATTGATTGGAAGACATCAGAGAAACCGAAGCCATTTCTGCAGAATACTTTTGACAACCCACTGCAAGTTGCAGCATATATTGGAGCCATAAATCATGATGCCAATTATGACTTCCAGGTCAGTAAGTCTGCTGCCAGCCAAGACAAGCAGCAGTGCCTGTGTTACTTTCATTTCTCCCCTCTTATTGCTTTTAGTATGAACTGTTGTTAGGATTTGTAACCAAACAGTCCTGTCTTAGGTCAGGCTAAACTGACGTACAACTTTACTGCAAAATTATTCTTCCTGCTGCCATGGCTTGTCCATAGTATATTGCCTGATTTTAAGGAAAGCCCTGTTCAGTGGGAACAGTTGTGTCCTAGAAGGTCCAGTAAAGCTGTAGTGATTGGTATTTTGTGAGTCCTTGGTGCTTTGTTCTGTGTAGTTTTATCTTGTGTCAGGACTGGGAAAAGAAAGAAGAAATAAAACAAAAGAGCGTGCAAACAGGGAAATGGGATGGGAAGGTATTGCTCATGTCATGTGATGCTCTTAAGACTCCAAAGGTAACTGTAGCCAGGCCTGCTTGACCCAAAGCTTTGAAAGGGCAAAATGTGAAGCAGATCCTTAAAGTGCAGTATAGGAGGTAATTCAAGGATTCTGTTATTCTGATTCCTACCACTTTCTCTTCACCTTCCTTAAGGTTTGGATATTACAGCTGTCTGTCAAGTATGAAGTATTTCAGAACATATTTCTTACAAATTAAATGTTTCTTATGTAAGATACCAGAAAGCACTTCACTGTACAGGTGCCACAGCACTGGCAAGGGCTGCCCAGAGAAGATGTGAAGGCTCCTCCTTGGAATCCCTCAGATGTGGTTCTGAGCACCCAGCTCTGGGTGTCCCTGCTGGAGCAGGCAGACCCGGAGGTGGCTTCCAACTCTGACCATTCTGAGATGTTAAGATCTAAGATGGTATTGTGCAGTGAGATCCTGTTGCTAAAACTACTGATTGAAGTTGCATATTAATGTTCGATCTCTAACAGCCCTCTGCTTTTAACTGTAGGTTCATTGTGGACTCATTGTGGTTGCCTATAAGGACGGCTGCCCCGCACATCCACATTTCATGGATCCAGATCTTTGCTCACAGTACTGGAATAAGTGGCTTTTGCGTCTTGAAGAATACATGGACAGAAACTGACCCAAACTAAGCTATGCAGAGGCAAGTGATCTGAGCACAGAGCCGAAGCACAAATCTTTTGTTTAAGTCTTTATTTAGTAATTCTGTTCTTAGTAACTTGAGTTAACATCTATCATTTTTTCCCCTTAAAAAAAAAAAAGAAAGAAAGAAGAAAAATCAGAATGGGAAATGCACACTTGTCTAAGTTGTAGGAGACTTCAGTGGATGTGGCAAGACAGAGTAGAACCTGCATCATCCCTATATCTTTCCCTCCCTGTCTATACAATTTGAAGTTGATAGGAAGGTTTGTACATCAGTTAGCTAGATGAAGTAAAAACTGTTCAATCATCCTCCTTTTGTTTTCAAGAAAAAGCTGAGACTGAGAATGAAAAATAAATGAATATTGTTGACTGGGTTTCAGTCAAGGTAGATCTTGCCCATTTCAAAGATATCTATTAACAGGCCTGTTACTATTTGTGTTTTTTCTTACAGCAACAAATGCAAAACTTGCACTGTGAACTACAACCAAAGCTCACATAAGTACTTATTTTAAATATTACAAAAAAAGTTACTTGTTTAACAGAAGTGGCTTAGGAGCAGAGGAGCAGAATTGTAACTGATACACGTAGAAATTTCTAGCAGGTGTTTTAAAAGACAGGAAGTTTATTACTTCTGGTAGCTCCTGCAGGTTCCAAAACAGGCTGTGTAAAAAGCCCCTGGGCTAAGGAAAAGAAATGTGAAAATGTAAATGGGCTACGTGCCTTTGGTGGTGGGCTGATAATGGACACTGCGCAGGGCAAGTCTGCAACTATTTTCAGCTTTCCTGACTTTCTTGTGAGTCTGAGCAGATGAGGAGCCTACCCGTGCAGAACTATTTCTAGTGACAGGTTTAAGCATTTTCCAGTGCAAGTGGATTTCTTTGCAGTCACAGATTTCTGATTTCAGACTTTGAAGCTGGGCATTCTGAAAAGCACTTTTTTTTTTGAGATTGCCTTTGTTTTGTTGTTTAAAATAACATGAGGAATAAATGTTCTAAAACAGAGGAGTTAATTTGAAGCTTGTTTCATACAGTCAAGTTTACAGACATAGAATAAGTCATGGTATCAGGTGACAACACTTTGTGTGTTACATCTGGAAAAACTTTTCCTCATTCTCTTTATTTTCTCTGATTTACATGCACGAGTTTTCATAATATCGCTGCAGATTACATATAGAAATACAACTGACTTACAGGCTTCAAGAAAATCAGCCAGAACCATACCTAAAAAAATGATAAGCAAGCTTGCTGCAGAAAGAATGTAAGCCTGTGTTGTGTTTGATACTCGACTCTTGTAGAGTACTGAACTGTGAACACTTGCACAATAAAGCTTTGCTGGTTGTGCCGGTCCGTGCTTATTCAAACCACGATGTGGTGACGGCATGATTACTCTGAGCTTAATTAGATTTCTAAGGAGACAAACATGGAGACTGAGAAACTGGGTTCATAGATGACTAATTGTAACGAAGCAGTGTGAATACTCAGTTCTACCTGTTTGGCAAGTACATCTCCACATCACAGGATTTGAGCAAGTGGGTAGGTCAGTGCCATTGGAGATGGTCAGTTAGACAGCTCTGTGGATGCAAAGAAGGGCAGCATAAGTGAGAGAGACGATGCTTCGGGCTGAAGTAGGCGGTGATAAAATGTTCTGAACTCTTTGTGTTGATTAGGATTGGATAAATAAAATTGAGCAAGGTTGGGATGGGATTGCCTCCTGCATCAGTGCATCAGCCAGCCATTAGATGTCCCTGAGCTTTGTAAGTTTTCATCCTCACCCTGCTTCCTACTGAATGAGGCCTAGTTGAGCCTGGGCAGCATAGGCATCTGTTGGCTTCATCTGTGTTCATTTGTTTATTACAAAAGCCTTTGAGGAAGGTTGCCAACTTCATTAGCAGTGCCAGTTTGTAAACCTATTTTTAAGTCTTGGATTAATTTGTAACATCAGAGAGTCAGGGGAAGGTAGACAGTATCAGTGGAAGTTACTCATGTCTAGCACTTCTGAAAGCCTGGCTGCCTCAGGCATCCCTATAGGAGTTCTCAAACTACTGAAGAGGTAAAGGTGTTGCCAGTTTTGTCCCATAACAAGCTATTGCCAGTCCCATGCAAACTCAGACCCACTTTGTCACCAGTTTAGCATTGCTTCTCAGACTGTTAAATTGACATGCCCAAGGCGTCTGCTACAGGGAGTATCTGTCCTCTGTAGAAAAACCTGTCAGACAGTTCAGGGCAGTTACTGCAACTGTAGTGTCAAGTTTGTTGGAACTTTGCTATCCATCCAGGGCAGTTTTGGTTCTGTGTACTGTTACACGCTACGTTATTCTTTTGCTGTGAATGCTTTCTTTGTCTAAAATCACATAGATGACCCACCTCGACGGGTCTCATTCTTTGGCAAAGGTATCGTTCGGCAGTGGTAACGGAAGGAAGTCAAAAGCATTGGTTCCTACAGTGGGAAGAGCACCTACCTCCTCCTCACACACAGCACCACAAATTCCCCATCCAGTTAAAATAGGTGGGAATGGTTTTAGCTGCTATGCCACTGCTCCAAGGGCTGCTGTTTCAGTAGAGCTAAGCATACGGATCCTTTGTGGTTAGGTGAATTCTACTCACTTGCTCAGGTGGCCTCTGCTGACACTCCCTCCCAATAGCTGAACTCAAGTCATGCCTGGGACTGGACTGTGAGGGTTAAGGGAAGTGACATCTGTATTACTACACTGTTCAGTTATAATGGCACCATCTCAGAAGAGCTGAGATTAGCGCATGAGCCTTAGCAGTTTTTGCAAAGTATCTTCTAAATACTTCAGATGCTTTTTCTTCCTTAGGTTTACTGTTTATTAAAGTATTTTTCAAACTTTCCTGTTACATAGCAGTGAAGTTTGTTCTTAACATAGTAGCATCACTTTATTATCATCATTTTCAGTACCTCAAGCACGTAGATTTGTGCTGGATCAAATACTAATACCACCAGGAAAACTGCTGAAAGCTCTTCACTGTGAGAACCCAAGGAGATGTCTGTACAAGACTGAGGTATCTTGAGGTTTGATTTTGTTTTTTATTTTTTTGATTCCTACGTAGATACTCAGAACCTTACAATTTAAGTGGTAATGGTTATGAAGGTCCTGGCCAGGTGAGTTACAGTTCATTGCTCATACAGAGCATTTGTTTCAATGTGTACAGAGTGGGATATGTTTTTCCAAAAATATACTTCTATTTTGAGCCTAAAATAAATATTGGGAAAATTACCAATGAAAACCATTAATTGTTTAGCATTTAAATTAATTTAAACTGTGTTTAGCAGCTGTGGCCATTAAGATATGAGACATGAATAAATGTGCTTGGACTGGTGTAACTTGGATTGTTGCTGAGGAAGTTACCACCCCACCCTGTCTTTGCTAACTTAGACACCTGAGTGCCCAGTAAGGGTTGCAGCAGCTTCTGAAGAGATTTACAGTGTTGGATATAAGGGGAGTCCTAAAAGCAAGGACGTAGTACTGGTCCCTTGTCATCAGCACACCACCTTCTCTGGTAACATCAGTCTTACTAGGAGCCATCTAAACTAACAGTGATTAGGGGGCAGTTATGCATACAGCTTTGCACTCGTCTCATGAGGCAGACAGCCTATGTCACACTCTTATCTGCTTTGCACAGCTTTGTTGTACTAATGAACAGGCACCTGATTTTTAAAAATTTAAACCACCCACGTTCCTGCGCACGCCATAAAATACACACACAGTTACACTCCATCGTGACAGAAAATACATATCTTTCAATTGTTAAAAGGATTTCTTTGGGTTTCTGGCTTGGTATTGATTTACGTTAGAAGGATTTGGTAACAATTCCCAAGTGAGCATGAGGAGTCCAGAAAAGTCAGCGTTAAGGTTACACTTACATCTAGATAGGTTGAAATGATTTCACAGCTTGAAGTCCCTAGAATGTGAGTCTCTGTGCTGGAAGGGGAAGTTTAGGAGGGAAAAAGGTCTGTGTTGTTTTAAATAAAGTTTCAGCTCATCTTGGATAACGGTTCTGCAAATTGTTCATTTACTGCACAGGGGCAGAGCTAAGGTTATTTGCACACTTAAACTTAAGTACCAATACCCTGTACTGTTTGTAAGCCAATTTTAATGAACTTTGCACATCAGAACAGCATACTAGGAGCCGCTCTTACGTGGCCCCTTTCACCCAAACACCTCAACAGTAATTTTTGCAGGAGGTAACTGTTACTGTCTTGAAGAAATGTGCTGGGGAAAGGTGAGCTTCTTTGTCAGCACCGTTCAGATGTGTAGGAGAGCTGAAATGGCAGTCAGGTTACCTGAATGCCAGGGTCAGTAAATACTCCATCTTAGGGTTAGGGTTTCCATTTTTTTGACCAGATAAAGTCTGACGTTTGTATGATTTGTGGGAATATTTCTTTCAAGTCGAGGTTCTACCAGTATCAAGAGAGTCCCATTAACAAAAGTATCCCTTTTCTTTCAGGGATTTATTTCAAAATAGTTTTTTAAAAAAATAATATATATGTAGTCCTACGTGTAAACTTCATTCCTGCAGACCATTGTAATCCACCGCGTTACTCATCTTTGTCGTCATCTTTGGAGTTCCTCTGCAGGACAGGGCTCAGTTTGTTTTGCAAGACCGCTGCGAGTTTTTTTGAGGTTTTTTTCAGGAAGGCACTGCTGGGGTGGACGCTGCTGACGTGCAGGTACAGGTCCTCCTGCGTGGGGCCCGTGTAGCCGCAATCCTCGCACACGTACAGTTTGTCCCGCCTCTGTTTGTAGGCGTATTGCTGCTGCACCCCGTGAATCTTCTTGAGGTGGGATTCCAGGGAACACCGCTGGGTAAATGCTTTGTTGCAAACCTCACATTTGTAAGGGCGAATTCCTACAATGCCAAAAGAGGGTCATTATTTTTCTAGTTTACATTTATTATAGCCAAGAAATCAGCTGAAAGCAAGGCTGTCTTCTTAGATAGCAAGCAGACACCTAGCACTAAGTAGCTGCTAGCCCAAGAAACTGTGAATAGAACATTTTACTTTTAGGCCAAAATCACGAGTGGTTTGATATATTTAGGAGCGTATAAATGTTTTGAGGAGATGGAAGCAGGAGCTGAAGCTGACTGGTGGCCATCACAGCTTTGGTCCCAAAGAAGAAACAGTTATCTATTCTTGCAACACTTATTCCTTTGAAGACTTGACTTAAAATTTTAGTTCTGTGATTAGATAGAGCTGTTGGTTTTAGCTAACTGCTCATTTTGTTGCTTGTAATGAACGAAATTTTGTGTCTTGGTAAGTAATTATCCTCTTTTAGTGACTCTTCAGTGGATGGCTGCCTAACGTGGACATACAGAGATCACAGCACTTCCAATGAGCAAGAGTGTTTTCATAAGATAGAGTATTAATTATTGTGATTACAGGCTTGGGTTCTACAAAATAGTGTACTGAGATGAAAAAAGTCTCTGTGTGTCTCTTGGAGGAGGAAGAACACAAGTGGCTTGTGATTTGAATGCCTGAATACTTTCATTATAAAAAGCAGAGAAGAGTATCCACTTTATCACCAATCAACTGATTTAACAACAATAGCTCCTCAGTGCTCAGTGGATGAACACCTGGGGGTTTATCAACACTTGAAAAACCCAAACATGGTGTGTGATTTTTCTCACTACAGAGTAGCTCAGTACTAAGGCCAGCCTTAAAGCTGATACAACGTGCTATCCCAAGCCCGCTTTGATATAAGTATGTATCAGTGAGCAATAGGCAAGGAACGGTGAAGAGCAAAGCTGCCATGTTCCCATGGTGTTAAATTAGTCATCGAACTGTGTTAAGTTTGCCATTTACTTGCTGGAATCTTGTTACCAGAAATCCCAACTAATTGGGAGCTCCAATCAAAAGCATCTTGATTGCATTTTTGCAAGTCTTGGGCAAGGAGTTTATTCCAAAGTGTTAGAACTGTCAAACTTAAAGTGTTAATTTCCTAACACCTACTGCTGTGAGACTGCACCAGTGGCTTCAGTTACACTGAGCTGCAGGTGGAGAGAAACTCCAAATCTTTCTCAGAATTCACAAACAAAAAACGCATCCGTTACAAACAGTATTTTGGGTGTGGTTTTATGCTCACCCAGCATCAGCGTGGGTCTGCACTTATGGCAGCTGACCAGGGTCTGTGCTTCTCCATTACTTTTGAATCATTTCACAATTTCATTTTACTGTGCATGTGAGTTACTTAACGTTGAACTCTGTATGTGCCATGCACCTGGGTTAGCACATTTGGCTGTCCCACTGTTACATCTGGCTGCAAGCAATTTCCACTGGAACACCAAATTCAGGAAAGCAAACCCTAGAGAAAAAAGCACAGCCTGTGCTTAGCCTGGCTTTATGCTGGAGAGGAGAAATGGTAACGCTGGATTTCTCTGATTAAATTTGGGGACAGTTTAACTGTAAGTCACCTGACGTGGACTGTAGTGTTTCAGTTCTGTTCACTCCAGATCCTTCTTCCTCCACAGTTTTACAAAATCAGTTCAATCCTGACTGTTGGGTTCAGCTGTCCCAGCCACAGCACAGATGCCTATGGCTTCTGGTCAGAGACCTTGCCCTAAGCAAGGTGAGTTTCTGAATCCAAAGAAGAGGACTTGGGTAGAAAACACCACCTCTTCCTGACACATTGGCTCTGTCCTTCAGGCACAGCCCGTTGGTCTCAGTTGGAAGATTTCCTGGCCACTTGGCAAACCTAAACCAGCGCAGAACACTGGTCCTGGCCAACGTTCTCTCATCAAAATGGGCAGCGTTGTTTTCATGACATCTACTGATAAGGAACAAATCCTGTCTACCAACAGACTTGTGCTGCTAGCCATGCACCTGCTTAATTCTGCCTAATCCTACATGTCAAAGAAAAGGGCATTGCAGAGCAGTCCTGGAGGGAGCAGCGAATGCAGAAAGGTGGAACATGCCTGGGAGAGGCAGAGACTCTACCAGGTGCCCCATGGTGGGAATGGAAAGGCTCCTGGTGCGAGCAGCCTGGCTTTACAGAGTGCCCTATGTGGTGGAGGTGGGCTTGATGTGTGCTCGTGCCATTGCTTTCACTTAGGAAGAAAAAAGAAGAAGAAAAGGAAACCAAAAGAGAGCATCCTTCTTCCAGGTTAGCAAAAGGCTCTGAAATGGTTTGCTTCCACCTGAGCTCATTCAGAATGCAGCTGGGCCCCAGCCCCGACATTTGAATGGCTGTGGCTGAAGCACAGCCTTGGAGCTCCCAGTTGGCTCAAGCTGTGTTCTGCAGCAGAAGCCATGCGTGTTGCTTGCTGGGCTCAGCAGGCACCAAATGCATCGCACGGTCTCCCAGAATCACAGCATACACCACGGTACCTCCTCCAGATGCCAAAACTGACCCCCGAGTGCCCCCTTTCCACAGAAAAGCCTGTGGCGGTGCAGCGCGATGGAAGAAACTGCTGCTCGTTTCCTCTAGAGGGCAAAACGCCTTCACTCGGCGCCCGCGCAGCTCCCACCCCGCCGGTTACCCTCGGCCCGTCCTCTCGCACCCATCCCGCCGCCGTCTCACCGGTGTGGGTCCGGACGTGGCGTTTCAGATCAAAGGTGTCGTTGAAGCCCTTCCCGCAGAAGGTGCACAGGTGCCTCTTCACCTGGCTGTGGCACTTGACGTGCCGGTTCAGCATGCGCTGCAGGCGGAAGCCCTTGCCGCACAGCTCGCAGGAGTGCACGGCGGCGTCGGTACAGGTGCCTGTGGTGAACTGGGGAACGGGAGAGACCGGGTGAGTGGATTGCGGGCATGGCAAAGCCCGAACGGAACCAAAAGTGGAAGGGGAGGGCTGGCTCGTGGGGCAGCGAGGGACGTGGCTTAGCGGGCGTGGTGGTGATGGGTTGAGGGCTGGACTCGATGATCTTAGTGGTCTTTCCTAACCTTAACGATTCTGTCACGTGCCAGGACGCGGCACGGCGTCCCATTCAGAGTAGCTCCCGTGCGCTGACGTCTCCCTGCAAACATCGCTATTTCCCACCGAAGCGCCCTGGGTTAGCGGTGTTTCTGCCCACAGAGGTGATGTGGTGAGACAAAGTCAGGCTGTGCTGACTCAGCGGAGCCTACAACAATGGCCCTGATCTCCTGTCAGCCCCCCTCGCTCGTTAATTCATTTGAGGCTGTTATTACAGGTTAATCGCCTTTCTACTACTAAAATTGTTGTGCCAGCTCCACAACCCAACCTGACGGAGGGAGACACGGATGATTCAGCTCTGAGGAAGAGCGTTCCTCACAAGGAAGGTTCCTATGCAAATGCCCGGCCATTATTTTAATTATGCTCAGTGCAGCTGCCGCCAGCCTTTCCAGCCAGCAGCACCGCACGCACACGCTGTCAGCACTCAGGGGCTCCCGGCAAGTTTCTGTGGCATCTGCAGAAAACCCAGCGCTGCAGAAACAGAGCTGAGCACAGATCTGTTCTCGTGGACTGGGCTGTATCTTTTGCTACTCGTGCAGGCTAAGTTGAAAGAAATGGGCTCAAGTCAAAGCGAGAGGAACAGTCTGGGGTTTCTGTGAAAAAGCACTTGGGGTTTCTATGAAACAAGAGGAGCAGCAGAGGGGAAAGCGTGTGCGGGCAACAGGTGGGGCTCCCCCTCATGCTGGCTGCACGTAAGGGGTGGAAAAACATGAAGTGATGGCTGCACCGCCGCAACCCCACCACCGATTGTGGGAATGCTTACAGCTCGGTCCGCAGAGCAGCGCTCAAAGCTTAACGCGGTGAGAACCGGCCCCTGGGTAACGCAGCTCCGCCCCAGCACGGGGGCGGCCGGGGTGCTCCTGGATGGAGAGCGCTCAGCCCAGCGCATCCCATTGCATCCTGCATCCCGCCATGTCCTGTATCCCATATTCTGCATCCCTCCATACCGACTATCCCGCCGCACCCTGCATCCCCCCTGTGCCCTACATCCCACCACCTCTCTTGGGACTGAAAGCGCAGCCTCGCCTCGCCGGCTCTGCCCACGGGATCGAGCCTATCATCGCTCCTACCTGCAGCAGCGAAGCTAACGGGGAGATAAGCGCTTCCTTCTCTCCGGCCCGCGGTTCCCCTCTAAGGTGCGGACGGCCCTGTGCAGCCCCGGGTCAGGGCCCGTCTCTCGATAAGCCGAGAGGAAGGTGGGGAGCGGGACGACCCACGCAGCGCCCCGTGCTCCCCGCCCGGAACGGGGCTCTGCGGGAGGCTCTGTGCCGAGGAGCGGGGCCCACCCGCGCGGAACTGGAGCCAGGAGCAGCGCGGCGGGGCAGGGCTCGGGAAGGCAAAGTGCGCGGGGCCGTTACCTTGATTTTCGACCTGACGGCGGGGCGCCTGACGGCCAGGTCCAGCAGCATCCCCCCGGGCGCGCCCAGCTCCTCCGGGGCCGCCTGCGGCGTTGGGGGATCTCCGAGATCGGGGTCCCGCGTCCCGCTGCTGCCGCTGCTCTCCAGGCTGCAGCTGTCTTCGTAGCCCGGGGCGCAGCCGAGGCCGCCTGCGGCGGGTGAGGATGGGGAGACAAATGGAGCGGGCCGGGGGCGGCCGCGGCGCTGAACCCGCGGGAGAGCCCTCGGGTTGAGGGGGTGGGGGAGGTTCTCTCCGCGATCGGAAACTCAAACAACGAACGGTCCCAAAGTTCAAACGGGCGCAGCTCCGCCGCCTTCCCGTTATACCCCGGGCAAGGACAGGCGGCGGGGAGGAGGAGGAGTAGGGAAGGGGGGGGACCGGGAGGACACCCCCGGCCCTTCCCTTCCCTCCCCCCGCCGCCCACCTCCCCCGCCGCCCTCCCCACCCGCGGCGTCCCGGTGGCGAAATGGGGCCGCCCTCCTCCGTTATTTGGGGTCCCGTGGCCCCGAGGGGCTCAGAGCGGAGCGGCGGATCCTTACCTGGGATGTAGGTGTCGGCGCGCTCGTCGTCGGGCAGCCCAGCCCAGCTGCGCACGGCGGGCTGCGGGCTGCGCCGCTTCACCAGGAAGGCTCTGGGCATGGCGAGGGCGGGGGGCGCGGCGCGGAGCTGAGCTGAGCCGTGTGGCACACGCGGATCGGTGCGGCGCACAGGAGCGCTGCCGGGGCCGGGCCGGCCGCAGCCCGGCGGGGCGCAGCGCTGCCGTGCGCGGGGCGCGGGACCGCACGCACCGGGGCAGAGCCGCGCGAAGAGCGGGGAGGGGAAGGGGAGGGGTGGCTGGAAAGGGTGGGGGGGCGGAGGGGGGGGGGAAAGTTTCATAAGGTGGAATAGAAAAATGCACCAGGAAACTTGGGAAGGAGCATGCGTGCTGCAAACATAACGGTGTCAACAAGTCTGCTTACCTGTCCGACCGGTTGGAGCAGCTGAGCTTTGTTCCAGCCCTTCCTAAGGCATGAATGTTTGCAAAAGAATTTAACGTCTGAAAATTAAGAAAAGAAAATAAAAAAAGCTCACGAGGAGTCGGGGGAACAGCTCGCCGTTACCCTCCCGTAGCCCAGAGCGGCGGTGCCCCCGGCCCCGTGTGCGGGGCTGCTCGGGGCGGTGCGGGGCAGAGCCAGCAGAGCGGGGCTGTGCGGGGCAGCCGTGCCCTCGGGGCGACAGCGGGCAGGAGAGCGGCTCTCGGCGTTACTCAGCTTCACCACCGGCTTTCCTTCTGCGAGCGAAAAGGAAACAACAACAAAAGATGGAAAAGCTTTATTCTGTTTTATTCATTTATTTAAAGTAAAAAACGTGTCAAGGCCTCCGACTTTTCACTTCTCGCCCCTCGTCCCCCCCCTTTTTTTTTTAATTGTCTCTTGTCCTCTCTCCTCTTCCCGAAGTGGAAACGAAACAAAAGAAAAGAGGACGGGTTGGGGGGAAGGAAGCAAAAGAAACAGAAGAAAACCCACAAAACAGCGTTGAAGAGCCTCTGAGCGCAGCAAAGCCCCGCGCGTGGTGTGTCCTTGAGCACCGAACAGCGTTCTGGGTGCTCCCTGCCCTGCGCCTGGCACCGCGCAGTCCTTCCTCCCCGCACATCTCCATGGCGCTGCCCTGTGCCAAGGGGCCTCCAGGCATCGCTCTCCTTCAAGGTTGCCGTGTTCCTCCCAGAGCAAAATGCCACAGGGAGATGATGGGAGGGAGGAGGAGGGGGGTCAGGGTGGGTTTGCTGCTGATTCCACCAGGGTAAGGATTTGGTGTTGAGAGCCAAACCTGAAGGTTCTGAAAAGGACGTGCCTCCAAATGAAACATCCAAATTGAAGATCTGTGTTCAATTCATGTCCCCAGTGGGACTGAAGCCCCTTGTGGGCTAAGGATGGAGCAGAGCCGCCCAGCAGGCTCCCAGATGGGAGCTGCTCTTTGGGATGGTGCAGTCTGGGTGAGACTCAGGAGAGATCTTATTGCTCTCTCCAGCTGCCTGAAAGGAGGCTGTGGCCAGGTGGGTGTTGGCCTGGGTTCCCAGGTAACAGTGGTAGGACAAGAGGTGATGGCCTTCAGTTGGAGGTCCTCTGAACCAGTGGAGGTTCAGATTGGATATTAGGATACATTTATTCTCATGATCGAACACAAGCAGAGGATGCCCAGGCAGGTGTTGGAAATTTGGAGATAAAGGACGTGGTTAGTGGAGGTGATGAGCTCACTGTCAGACATGGTGATCTTTGGGTCTTTTCTAACCTGAACAATTCTGTGATTCTATGGTTTGGTAGAAGTGAGGCAGGAGAGCATCACCACCTGTCTTCACAGCCTCCATTGCTGATAGCGCCCAGAGGGAAGAGCTGAGAAGCCCTATCCAAGGAGCTGCCTTTGAGGGACAGTGCCCAGCTTTGTTCCCCTCAGTGCCACCGTCACCCCCCAGCCACCCAGGGCAGCTCAACACACAGGGACTGCAGGACCTGTGGTGCCAGGGGAGGTGGAACCCAGTGTGCCCCAGGGCACCTCAGCGATACCACGAGGAACGCTCTTCCTTTCCTTCTCTTTAAGGCTAAGTGATTTCTCTGTTATGTCTGAGATTTTGCTCCAGGTCAGGATAAAACTACACAGGTTTTAATTGATTTTTTGCAAGGCTTTCGACTTGAGGTTTCTTTTATTTTAACCACTCCTTGTCTTTTAAGCCAAAAGAGGCAGCAAATGTCATTAATCACAGCACTCCTGTACCAAGAGCTCTCTGGGACTGCTTCATCATGCTCTTGCCTTTTTCAATCCCTGCTTTGAGGTCCCCACTCAGTAAGGTACCGGAGGACATACTCAGCTCCCTTTGGGTGCTCCACACCATGTGTGCACTCACTCACATGGCTAAATCAGGAATTATAATTATGGCCAGTTCCGGAGCCCTAATGAGTGGTCAGGGCTGCAGTGTGCCCAGCAGTGGTGGTCTTGCAGCTTCTGGCAAGGCAAGAGGACCAGGGCCCATGGTGGTGATGGGCGAGCTTCTTCATGCTGTTATTCAACCCAGAGGAGCCTGGGGAGCAGGCTCTCAGCATGACCCCGCAAACACCATTGTAGGCAAATGCATGTGGTGCCATAAGCAGTACCCTGGGGCTGTGCCTCCCCCCAGCAAAGCAGCCCCATGGATGTGGCACAGGGCAGCTTCCGTCCTCCCCCATCAGCTGTGGGAGAAAAGCCATGCAGAGCCCGAGCACTGTAACTGCTTAACAAATAGCAGTGCTAACGAGACTGCGTGGTACCAACCTTTCTGTGGGACCTTGCTTAATTTTCAGCCTTAGCTGGGTGTGGGAGAAAATCCGGTACGTCATATTAACATTTTGGGTGTAAATCAAATTAAACGTACAAAACGCCCCGTAGGGTCAAAGCACAATGGGACCCACCCTTACATATTTGACTACTAAAATGGGCTTCATTTGACTCAAATCATCTGGGAATGAAAAGGGAAAGATGGGATCAAACATTGCACAGCAGCCATGAGACGCTGTCGCAATCACATCCCTCCCGCATGCAGCCCTGCATGGGGATGGGCTCATGTCCCTGGTAGAGGGCTGTCCTCATTGCCAGCCCCGTGCCGGTCCATATAATGCCAAGAGGAAGTGGGAAAGGCAAGGTCAAGAGCTGAGACCTGGGTCTGGAGAGTAAGGGGAGGGACTGGGTTGGAGGGGGCAGAGAGGAAAGGAGTGGAGGGAGAAATACATGGGAAAAGAAGCAAATAAGTATAAGCAAAGGCATTTGTCTGCTGTTAAGTGAGTGGTGAGGGCGCAGGTCTATCTACAGACAGAAGGTTTGAGCGTGGCCATCATCATGCCACCTAGAAATACAGAGACACCAGCCTGAGGGGATGAGCTCCACGCCAGTGATGCACAGTGCTTTCTGGTGATTTCTTTCGATTTTGAGCCAAACAGGCTGGATGGAGAATGTGTGGATGTGACATGTCACCTAAAGCACAGATGGTCCTCTGTTTGGGCGCAGGAGATGTGAACAGCACCCCCAGCTGTGATGTCCCCAGCAGCATCCTGCTCACAGAGGTGGCCCGGCCGCCAGGCAGCACCACTCCCAGGCCACATTGTCACGTCTGCCCCAGTTAGGTGTGCCACACATTCAGGAGGAGGCCACAGCATTTCCCCAACCAGGAGAGCGATCTGCTCACCTTGGCTGAGCCATGAAGGAGGGCAGCAGCGGGTGCCAGCCAGGAGAACGTGGCGCTGGGCCTGCAGCAGCCCTGCCGTGCTTCCAAGCGCCCCGCCACGCTGACTCACTGGCTCCCAGCCTCCCACAGCCCCTGCCACTCCCAGCGTCTCCCTGTCTTTCCGCACCGATCCGTCCGCTCCTCTCCCAGCTCAGTGCTGTCTCCCTGCCACCCACTCGCCGTGGCTGTGCTCCCTCAGGCACCCAGAGCAGCCCCAGCTGCTCCCACTGTCGCCTCCAAGTGCCCCTGGAGCAGTGCGTGTGTGGCTGCCAAGCGTCACACAGCCATGAGCTCCTCACACATGCATGCTAAAGAGAAACCACTCCTGTTCATGTTCCCACCATGCTTGGGCGAGGATTCACCAAGAGCATAGCTTTCATCAGACACCAGAGAACCCACCGAGGTGCCAGGAGATGGTTGCCTGCTCTGTAGGCAGGACATATATCTATATGGCTTCTCAGGCGGGGTGTTGTCCCTTCTCTCCTCTTGCTTGGTACAGGGCTGGTTTGATCACAGGAGCAGTGCTGGTGGGCTTTGGGTCCCACTGGGCACAGAGGTGCCAGTACCCATGAGAACAAAGAGCTTCTGCTGAAGGGGCAGCTCAAGGCAGGGTAGCATATGGAAACCTTGTACTC